GGACTTACATGCTTTCGCGGTTTTAGACTGCCGGTTTTTAATATAATGAGCTTCATCCAAAATTACCCGGAAGAATGAGAGCGAAAATAAACCTCCATGACCACCCTTATCACCATTCCTAGCAGTAACTTGATTGAACTCAGACAATATGACACCATAGCTTGTAATAACAACATTAGGAGCCGATGCAGCGTTAGCTTCACAGCAAAGAGCTTGAAGATTTGCTGTTTTATCACTACCATAATAAACAATACTCTTCATTGTTCCATCCCTGGAAGCATTTTCGGCTTCACTTTGCCATTGAGCAAGAAGGGACATTGGTGCCACGACCAAAGTTGTACAGGGTGCCCTTTCTACAGATGATGAATTGGCTGGAAGTCGAGGCAAACTGTTTACTGATGTAGCCTTTGAGCGCTTCTCATCGAGCCGCATAGCCACATCAGACTTACTAGAGTGGATAAGACTCATCATCTCAATAGTCTTGCCTAGACCCATCTCATCGGCAAGAATGCCTCCAAGACAATGCTGTTCCTGAAGAGGGAAATCTAAGGAAAGTGCACCGGAATATGGATTGACGTAGAATTTATCTTGATTAGCAATTTGAATGACCTCTTTATCATCCATGTCCTTCAAAGGCCAAGCGTACTCTTCCCACAGAGGATGCATCGAGGCTTTCCTCTTATTATCTTGCTCGTCGCGCTCTTTCGCCATCATCCAATACAATGCTTGCTTTTGATATGGTCGCAAATCCATTGCAAAACTTTTTGCTGGTTCTGCCTCAGGAGCATTAAAATCAAAGGATTGAGCTTTGCTATATAACGTGTCAAGTTGGTCTTGCTCAAGTTCTTTTCCTTCCTCTGCCTCTTCAGATGGGGGAGTGGCAGTGCCCGAACCAGTAATTTTAGATTCATCTTTATCATAATGTTCAGCTGCCTCTGCAGCACTTAAAAGTCCCTGACGCTTATGTTTTGCGGTTGCTTCGCTCGTTTGCGTAGGAAGTAGATTAATCTCTTGAAATAAATTAACTAACGCGACCTGACGGAGTCTTAGACCCTTTTCTTCAGAACTTTCTTTCTCTTCAAAAAAACCAGTTACCCGATTATCAGGTGCCTGGAAACTGCGGTCATCGAAAGCAGTCCTTAACAATGAGCACCTGAGTTGGAGGAAGACAGTATCATTGGTACGAATTCTTTCAGGCGCATATACACATGTACCCTCGAACTTGCATATTCTTTGATCAATTAAAGTAGAAACCCAATTTGCCGTTTCTTGAGGAAGACGACCAACTTCAAACCCCTTCGAATTGGTAAAACGTACAATGACATCGACACGCCGTGCTGCAGCGCTATTAGGTTTTGGTAATGTTTGAGCTACTGATGTTCTGCCTTTCCCCCTTCCGGCCGGTGTCTTGGGTGGTTGTATCTTTTGACGCTCTATCCGCACAACTTCGCCATGTTTGATTAAATTTGTTCCACTCTTCGTAGCCCAGCCTCCAACCCCAAATGCTCCTATATACCGATATTCTGGCATGATTCGATGAGGCGAGACTGTTCTTGACGAGGTGTTTGATTTTGGAGAGCTTGGCTTAGGGCCATCAACAGTACCGCCATTTGCAGACTTCGCGAAAGAACTAAAAGCGCTTCTGGAGTTTGACGAAGATCTGGAGAGACCAGAGACAAGCGTAGGTCGTTTCCAAGATCCATCAAAGTACATATTCACAGCCTTCTCTATATCATTTCCAGACGCCTCTCGTAACCCTTTCAGTTCTTCCGGAGTCACTTTGTCGCCAATGAAGTTTTCAAACATTTCCTGGTCGAATATAGTCTGCGAATCTCCAGCAAGGGTTCTTTCCTCCAAAACTTGATCATCTTGAGGATTCTGGTCTCTGATTTCGTTTGTGGAGCAGGCAATTGCTGGAGGCAGCGCGTCGATTTCATCTGGTACATTTGTCGCCTCATCACCTGGTGAAGATTCCAAACCCTCAGCTGTTTCCGTAAAGAACCTTCTTCTCTTTGCTGGAGGCCCCTCCATACCCGCAGAAGCTATGGAATTCTCACACGAATTAAATTTGTCATTTCAAAACAAAAACAAAAAGCGAGAGCAAACTGAGTAATATTCCACTGCTGATTTGATGGAAACGCGCAGTCACGCGATGGACGGACGCGACAAAAAATAATTAAGATGTTTAGTGACGTCGGGGGTTCTTATCTTATCCTTGTATATTATTTTGTTAACAGCTTTGTCAATGTACATATAACTATTCGAAGAGGGACAATTATAAAGAATTTGCAATTTACAATTCATTCACTAGTCACCCGCAACAACAATAATTCTAATGTACAAATCACAAATTCTGCGTCGGCTCCAAAGCTGTCCCAAGACATATATCAGTTCGAGATGCGCCTATGCTACTACCTCCTACAGTACACCTGCGCCATTTGCCTCCCGGTTGACTGAAGAAGATATAAATCAAGCCAGGACATATTGTTCCAATCTTATCCAGTTAGTTCTGTGAGCCCTGTGAGTTTCTCAATTCCCCATGTCTAATTGATGTCTAGAAAGTTTGATTCGCCATCGTATACTCTTCAAACCTTTATTCCTCCCTCAACAAGAGATGCCTACCTTTCAATTCGTGCTCTCAATATCGAATTAGCTCGTATACCAGATATTGTATCAAATCCAACAGTTGGAGCATTGCGCATGCAGTTCTGGCGAGATAATTTGAACCGAACATTTGCGAATACACCTCCGAAAGAACCTGTCGCCATTCTCCTACATCATGCGCTCACGTCTCTTCAATCGCGATATGATGGAATCAGCACAAGTGTGATGAAGGGTTGGTTTATGAAAGTGATCAATACAAGGGAACAATATATGGATAATCGACCTTATACAAATATGGATGCGCTTGAGATGTACGCGGAGAATACATATTCAACATTAATGTACTTGACTTTAGCAGCTTTACCTCTACAATCAATGGCAGCCGATCATGTCGCGAGTCATATCGGTAAAGCGGCTGGAATTGCTGCGGTTTTGAGGGGTTTGCCACTGATAGCATTTCCACCACCACCAAACCATCATAGCAACAATGCAGCTTTTGGTGGCGCTCTGGGTGGCAATGCTGGTGGGCGACAAGGAGCAGTCGTTTTACCATTAGATGTCATGGCCGAAACTGGTGTTAAAGAGGAGGATGTATTGAGGCACGGGGCAGAAGCTCCTGGTTTGAAAGATGCTATTTTCACTGTGGCGACCAGAGCAAATGATCATTTGATTACTGCCAGGGAGATGTTGAAGAACCTCCAAGCGGGTAAAGATGCAGGTCACGAGTTTGAGCATCAAGATGAGGATGGTCACTACTATGCAGAAGGTGATAACACCCAAGTCAGTGATATGGAGAGAGGATTTGGTGCATTTATGCAGGCAGTCCCTACGAGATTATGGCTGGAAAAGCTGGAACAACTCGATTTTGATGTATTCAGGCCGGAGCTCAGGGCAAGAGAATGGAAGTTGCCATACAAGGCATACTGGGCGTATACTAGACGAAATCTTTGATGTAATAGTACTCACAATCAAAACGTTTAGCCAAAAATGCAGGCTAGTCTATCTCGCTACATCAAAGTCTGTGGCATAATGATCACTTATTGAAGTTCCAGCTATTTGAAGATACCATGGATCCAAGTCATATTTTCATCACCATCAAAAACTCCTGCAATGTGGTTCTAAAGCCCAATTTTCGACACTAACACCCAATCCTGATTTCAAGCCTGATTATGTACGTTCATCAAGAACTTCGTCCTCCAATGCGTCAAGAAACCGTCCCTGCACAGCCATTTCATATCAATGCCCAGTCTCAAGTCATCATCCACAAGGTGATCACATTCGAATTTTCGAATTTTGCATGTCCAAAATCACACCATCAATACCTCCACCCTACCCCAATTCTCTCACTCCCCGGCCCATATTTTGCATCCCTTTCTCCGCACCTTCTTCCTGCGTACAAAATCCCATTGTTCCTACACTCCGAAGAGCAATACCCATTAACATATTTCGGCCGAATATTCCAGCGATTCGGTAAACATTCATTTGGAAGTTCGAACGGCAAGCCCGGTCGTGCTAATTCTCGTGGATCATTGATGCGTGCTAATTGTACGTAGAGGAGGTAACAATTGGGTCCTGCGTGGAGAGTGCGGTGGCCGCAAAGGGGCTCTATGCTCCAGTAATTGCACATTTGATTGGTTTTGGTTCAGATGAGAGATCTAACAAGTATGAATCTGAGGGCTTAGGACTGAGAGCTAGATGAATTGTGGATGTTGATCGATTCGAACTGGAAGGGAGGAAGATCAATGATCACACTTGCAATCCAAAAATTGTTCAAAAGAAGACTTCGGGATACGAAGCTACAAGAAGTATACTTATACCGGAAACACAAGCTCTCTCACTATTCTCCTATAACTCAAAATTCCCATCATTGATCAATGTGACACACTTGCTCTTTACAATATGAGTCTTCATTTGCTGTACGCAAAGAATACTCTTCGCTGTAAGGCGGGCCATCATCCCCGGTTATTCAAACGGCGCACTATTCATAGAAAATCCTCCGACAACAAGCAAAAGATGCGAGCAGATAGCTACTTCTCTAATCGGAATTTCACCATCATGTAGATTGCGAAAAGGTGATGTTGATGCTTGAGTTTGGCATTTTGCAAACCTCAAACGGCTACACAAAAAGATGAGATAGTGGGTCCTGCTTCAGCTGTTTGCTGAATCTCTGACTGTGATGAAGATTGTTTCATGCATGGTATTAAGTGAATAATGAGGAGATTGATACGGGCAAAGAAGATTTTGTGTTACTCTAATCGGAAGAAACAGTTTGCTAAAGAAGGTCACGGGAAGCTAGGATCCTGCTCAACAAATTTCTGAAACAATTTCGTAAATTCTCAATAATTCTAGCTCTAATAAGATTGGGTATAATGAAAAGACAAAATGGCAGTTGGAAACTATTGTGGCAAGTTCTTCTTGAGTCTTTCTTCGTATCGTCCAAAATCTGGAATATCGGGGGTTGAAGCAGCTGAGATACTTTGACCATTAGACTTGCTGTTTAGTTCTGCTGTGATTGCATCAACATCAACATTGAGATAATCTCTCAAAAATTTGCCGACCTCGATATTTTCGTGGTTTCCACGAAGTACATCAGCACCATAGCCATATATGTTGACATCAACAGCAGAGTGACCGTGAGTTGACCAACCGATCTGTGCTCTGCGGCTGATGATATCGGCAAAAGCATAAGCAGAAAGTGCCGGATTGTCAAGTACGCGATCGATCTCTTCCTCACTCGCGTCCATAACCCCAAGACCCTTCTTGATGAGATCTTCTTTCACGAATCGCCTACTCACGGGGCGTCCATTGGTGATCGCTTCGGAAGAAGCAACATGAGCCCTTAGAACCCTAGAAAGATACTCTGATGAATGGGAAGCATTTGCCAACACTTCAGGGTACCATAAATATTGAGGGTATGATGGATTAAGTTCTGGATATGAATTAGCAATAGCTCATGGGTATGGTGAGCTGGTATATCTTACGTCTTGCAACAGCTAAGCCTCCAGTCTCGTGGTCACTTGTAGCAACAAGAGCGCCTTCAGTATCGCTCTTGTCCAGGAAATCGACCACACTTTGGAAAGCTCGATCATAGGCAAGTACTTCGTGAACTTGGGCAGCCTAAAAAACTAGTCAGTCATACTACTCGTGCTTAGACTTGCTATGTCGCCTCCAAGTGATCCATAGTAACTTACTGGGTCGTTTCCATGGCCGGCATGATCGATTCGACTTCCCTCAATCATGAGAAAGAAACCCTTATCACTATCCTTGGTTGCAGCTTCAAGTGCGGTCAAGGCTGTTCTTGCCATTTCATCAAGGGAAGGATAGACATCGTTCATGTTTCGTCGATCGAGCTCGAAAGGGATATCTGTGTCAGAAAATAGACCCAACAGTGGCAGCTGAACCTTCTTTCCAAGCTTCAACTCGTCAAAGTCCTCTCTGGTATCAATGTATGTCCACCCGTATTTGTCTTGCGCCAATTTTGTGACATCGCGATCATCAGCTCTGCAACTAGATTCTGATGTGTTGGGCAGGAAGTGACAGCGTCCACCGCCTAACATCAAATCAACGACTCGATGTCCAAGAGGATGTTCCCCAACCTCTTGTAAAGCTATCGAGTCCTCCTGCATTCGGTAATCAACGTGTGAGGCAAAGCAAGCTGGAGTCGCGTCCGTTATATCTGTTGTAACAACCACTGGAGGAGTTAGCACTTCAATGTCTGAATGAACATGGCAGATGTTTACTTACAGCCTGTGGTATAACCAGCTCTCTTCGCAGCTTCGAGTACAGTACCACATGGGGTGTGATCAGGCAACATAGAAATTGCGCCGTTATAGCTTTTTCTTCCACAACTAAATGCAGTAGCTCCTGCCGCACTATCTGTGACAAGACTGCTGCTTGATCTCGTGCGCGACGAACCGATAAAATGTTGATCGAGTTGAAGAATGTCATCGATGGGCAGATCTCCCTGGAATTGTCGGAAGCTTCTCGTCAAACTTAAAGATGCCGGGCCCATTCCATCGCTCACCATGAAAATAAGATTGCGCTTTCCATTTTGCTTTGTCTTCTTTGGAGCTTGATGGCTTTGCGACAATAAAACGCTTAGGATGATGACAGCAGCAGTAGCAACAACAGCCCAAGTAAAGAGCCCAATTTCTCTCCAGAATCCAGGTCTCTTGGATTCGTAGGAATTCTTTCGTCGATTACCAAGAAGCGCATCGTCTTCTGCCGCAGCTCTTTCTTCGGAATTGGAGGAAGAGGGTCTGCCTGACGCGAACAGCGGACTGTTATTATTCGGCGCCATTAGGTGTTGCGCTGAGGTTGTCAAGTTGTATGTATGAATAAGATTCACCTATCGTTGAAAAGTATGAGTTCGCAGACAGAAACTTACCACTGGGGTTGGTAACTTAATGATGTCAGCCCGGTTTTGAGACAGCAGAGCTCACTAGGCACGGCAAGCAAGTGTCAGGGCGCTATTTTGTCTGGGCAACCAACAGATCGGTGTACAGGAAGTGTCAGGCAGATCTTCGCAACACGCACACCAATCTTTCAATTCGAGTACAGACATCAATAGTAGAGCTTCCGAGAACTTGATGAGAGAAACGATATTTACCTACCGATAAGACCTAGCATTTATGAAATTTAGAGAACAGTCAGTTATCACTTGGTATAAAAACTCGTTAATGCAAGGTCGCGTAAGTTATGTGAATAAGTATTTGGGACTGCGACTGATTAATCACTTCTTGATACCAGAGAGCATGATGTAATTTGTTGCCTTTACCTAGTTGTCAAATATCTAAAAAGAGCGATTTCTGCTTGGTCAATATTCATGAATGGATTTGCAGCTGGTAGGTAGAATTTTCAGCTTAAATTTTGAAGAAAGGGAAATTGAGATGAAACAAATATCACGATGCGGAGGTCACGACGTCACACATTGGTGAAACCTATACATAGTTCCAAAAGGCTGCTGGGGCTGTATTCAAGACTTTTCTGGTTCGGTATTGAAGATGTGCATCTTCCCGGTTGTCTGATTTGTCGAATGGATTTCATCATGGGATGATACACTCGGCTCACATAGTCGTAGGAAAAGGCGAACATTGTCTTTGCAATATCTTCATAAATTGCTCGAAAACCCCGATTAATTGCCTGCTTCACTAACCGGTGAACAGATCCAAATCGAACCCCATTCACTTTTATGCATTCTGACGCCAACCTCACAATGGACGGGCACTCAGTGTAGTCGAAGCTCATGAATTGGTGGAAGCCCTGAGATTTATACAGCTATTTCCTGCTGCGATTCATTCCAGCCTTCCCAGTCAAACACCAAAGGACCCAGAACTAATCAACCGCTTAACGCTTCTTTTGTTGAGACTCCTTGAGGACCTTCTTGACAATCTTCTGCTCCTCAATCAAGAAAGCTCTGACGATACGATCTCTAACGCAGTTGGCACATCTTGATCCTCCGTAGGCACGTTGAACAGTCTTCTTTGGGCGGGAGATCTGGGAGTATTCGCGGGGTCGGAGGGCTGGGATCTACAGGAAATGAATTAGCATTTCCATAACCAATTTTGTATAATCAAAAGTCCGTTGTAATCAACCATCGCTGCTTTCGAGAGCCTGGAGCCCATATATTGGCCATCGCGAAGTAACAACTGGAGCGATGTAGAAAGATGCTTCGCGCTTGTATTCCAACTTGGCGAGCGAGTTTTCGCTTTTCCTCCTCCCTCGTAATTTAATCGAAAGATATCAACTTACACCTGGCAATTTGATTCCGCAGTCACCGCACTTTGGTGCAGTACCGGCCTTCTTGATGTGGAGATAACGAAGCTCGCCGCCGGGGGTCTTAACAACTCTGACCTTGTTGGATCGAGTGTTGTATCTATTTTGATTAATATTTGGCTCTTCTTCCAACGTTGAATAATTGAAACTCACGGGTTTCGGCGTCTGTAGGTCAATCTGTTGGACGACATGTTGGCGAATTTCTGGTTCGGAGGTCGATTGAGGTCGTTGGCGTTGTCGATTGAATCTTGAGTTTTGTCAAATTGAACAAATTCTTCGTGCGCGATAACTCGCTAGAGCTATCACGCTTATAGTTAGATCATTCACGTGCTAATCCGACAGCCCTTGTGCTTTGTGCTTACATCAGCACCTCAAGACTCAGGCAACAAGAATTAAAGATTAATTGAACGGATGCGCTAGCGGGCATTTCCTTAAGCTCTCCGTGTAGCGTTAAAATTTATCTAAACGCGCTCGCGACAACACAATTATCAACTTTATACCCATCAACGACAAAGTGAAGTTCTATTCAGAAGGCGACTTGTTGATGGAATTTGGGACTTGGTACCCAAGACATTAAAAATGTCATCAATTCCACCACCTCCCCCGCCTGGATGGAGCTCTTCTGCGCCTCCATCCATGCCTTTGGGCGCGCCACCTGGTGCTCCTCCTCCTCCAGGTTATCGACCGCCGGCGGATCCACATGTTGCGAAGTTTGCACAGAAGAAGAAGGATTGGTTACGAACACAGCGAAATCGATTCGGCGAAAAACGAAAGGGTGGTTTTGTAGAAACTCAGAAAGCTGATATGCCACCAGAGCATCTGCGAAAGATCGTTAAGGACATTGGAGATGTATCACAAAAGAAATTCAGCAGTGATAAACGAAGTTATCTCGGTGCACTCAAATTCATGCCACATGCCGTGATGAAATTGCTGGAGAACATGCCAATGCCTTGGGAGTCTGCGAGGGAGGTTAAGGTGCTGTACCACGTCAACGGTTGTCTGACTTTGGTTAATGAAATACCAAGAGTCATCGAACCAGTGTTTCATGCCCAATGGGCTACGATGTGGATTTGTATGAGAAGAGAAAAGAGTGATAGACGGCATTTCAAGAGAATGAGATTTCCGCCATTCGATGACGAAGAACCACCCCTTTCATGGTCGGAGAATATCGAAGATGTCGAACCACTGGAACCAATTCAACTGGAACTCGATGAAGGAGAGGATGCTGCTGTCTTAGAATGGTTTTACGAAAATCGACCACTACTTGACACGCCACATGTCAACGGCCCGAGTTATAAGGAGTGGAACCTTACTTTACCTCAAATGGCGACTTTATATCGATTGAGTCGACAATTACTGAGTGATTTGGTCGACAAGAACTACTTTCACATGTTCGAATTGAAGAGCTTTCAAACAGCCAAAGCTTTGAATGTTGCAATTCCTGGTGGTCCACGTTTTGAACCTCTGTACAAAGATGTGGATCCTAACGATGAAGATTTCGGAGAGTTTAATGCAATCGATCGCATCATCTTCCGAGCTCCAATTCGAACAGAGTATCGTGTAGCATTTCCTTACTTATACAATTCACTACCTCGTAGCGTTAAGCTTTCCTGGTTTTCGCACCCGCAAGTGGTATATGTTCGTGCTGAGGATCCAAGTTTACCGGCATTCTATTTCGATCCCGTTATCAACCCAATATCTTCCAGATCTGTTGCCCCCAAAAACATCACCATCAGTCACGAAGACGAAATATTTGGTCCAGGTAGCAATGAAGAGCCAGAAGAAGATGCTTTCAGACTACCAGGCGATGCTGAGCCATTTCTCGCGGACGAGGAGTTATACACTAGCGAAACAGCTTCAGCCATTTCCTTGTGGTGGGCACCTTTCCCGTTCGATCGAAGATCCGGTCGCATGGTTCGGGCACAAGACGTACCTCTAGTTAAGCAGTGGTATCTTGAGCATTGCCCTCAAGGTCAGCCAGTAAAGGTTCGAGTTTCATACCAGAAGCTTCTGAAGACTTATGTCTTGAACGAGCTGCATAAGAGGAAGCCAAAAGCACAAAGTAAACAAAGCTTGATGAAATCGTTGAAGCAAACGAAGTTCTTCCAGCAAACAACAATTGATTGGGTTGAAGCTGGACTTCAAGTCTGCAGGCAGGGTTTCAATATGTTGAATCTTCTCATTCATCGCAAGAACCTTACATACTTACATCTTGATTATAATTTCAATTTGAAGCCTGTCAAGACACTGACAACAAAGGAGAGAAAGAAGTCTCGATTCGGAAATGCGTTCCATCTGATGCGTGAGATTCTGAAAATGACAAAGTTGATTGTTGACGCACAAGTTCAGTATCGTCTTGGCAATATCGACGCTTTTCAACTTGCAGATGGTATTTTATACGCTTTCAATCACGTCGGTCAGCTGACTGGAATGTACCGCTATAAGTATAAGCTGATGCATCAAATTCGTTCGTGTAAAGATTTGAAGCATTTAATCTATTATCGATTCAACTCTGGGCCAGTAGGCAAAGGACCTGGTTGCGGCTTCTGGGCACCTGCTTGGAGAGTTTGGCTCTTTTTCATGCGTGGTATAATTCCATTACTTGAAAGATGGCTTGGAAATCTCCTTTCTAGGCAATTTGAAGGACGTCACAGTAAAGGTGTTGCAAAGACAGTTACAAAACAACGTGTGGAGTCGCACTTTGATCTTGAATTGCGAGCATCGGTTATGGCCGATCTTCTTGATATGATGCCGGAGGGTATTAAGCAAAACAAGGTTCAGACTGTACTTCAACATCTTTCAGAGGCATGGAGATGCTGGAAGAGTAATATTCCTTGGAAGGTTCCGGGTTTACCAGCACCTATCGAGAATATCATTCTTCGTTATGTGAAGAGTAAGGCGGATTGGTGGATTTCCGTCGCTCACTACAATCGTGAGCGTATTCGCCGGGGAGCGACTGTCGATAAAACAGTTGCAAAGAAGAACCTTGGTCGTCTCACGAGACTTTGGCTCAAGGCCGAACAAGAGAGACAACACAATTATATGAAGGACGGCCCATACGTCTCTTCTGAAGAAGCTGTCGCCATCTATACAACCACTGTTCATTGGCTGGAGTCACGAAAATTCTCGCCCATTCCATTCCCCAGTGTTTCATACAAGCACGACACCAAAATCCTTATCCTTGCGTTGGAACGACTTCGTGAAGCATACTCTGTCAAGGGACGACTAAACCAGAGCCAGCGTGAGGAATTGGCCTTGATTGAGCAAGCTTATGATAGTCCTGGAACTACTTTGGAGAGAATCAAGCGCTTCCTACTAACACAGAGAGCTTTTAAGGAAGTCGGAATTGATATGAACGACAATTATAGCACGATTAACCCTGTGTATGATATCGAACCCGTGGAGAAGATCAGTGATGCCTATCTAGACCAATACCTCTGGTATCAAGCCGATCAACGCCATCTTTTCCCTGCCTGGATCAAGCCTTCCGATTCCGAAGTCCCACCCTTGTTAACCTACAAATGG